ATGAATTAGCTAATTAGTTGAATAGGAAGTTTTCCATTTGCTCAGTTTAATTGCCTGTCCAATATAATACATCCATCCATTATCATAACCACTTAATCCCACACAGGGGGCCTGGAGCCTATCCTGAGAGCAATGGGCATAGGTGGGAACCAACACACCACACGGTGCACACACTCACACAACAACAGGGCCAATTTAGACAGGAGCCCCAAGTAAAAACAGGGAGTGCATGCAAACTCCACACAGAAAGGACCTGGGATTGATCCCAGAACCTTCTTGCCATGAGGCAGCAGTGCTAACCAAAGCACCACCATGCTGCCCACAATACAATGCAATACAATAAAATATATTATATTGGACAGGCAATTAATATAATCATAATCACAATGTATATACAGTCAAAGTAAAAAGTATGTGAACACTTTGGACTTATCTGGTTTTCTGCATGAATTGGTCATAAAAAGTGATCTGATCTTCATCTAAGTCACAGGTACTGATATACACAAAGAGCTTAAGCCAATAATGCACAAAAAAATTCTACTCTTTCATGTCTTTATGATACAAACGCATTCAACGTTCACAGTGGTAGTAGAAAAAGTAAGTGAACCTTTGGATTTAATAATGGGTTGACCCTCCTTTGGCAGCAATGACCACAACCAGGTGCTTCCTGTAACTGCAGATCAGACCTGCACATCGTGCAGAGGGAATTTTAGCCCATTTTGTCTTGCAGAACTGCCTTAACTCTTCCATATTCTTTGGTTGTGTTCTGTGTATGGCTCTCTTCAATTAATTCCACAGCATCTCAATAGGACTGAGATCTGAGCTCTGACTGGGCCACTCCAAAGGCAGATTTTGTTCTTCTGAAACCATTATGCTGTGGATTTGCTGTGATGTTTGGGTTCATTGTCCTGTTCCATCACCCAGCCTCTTCTGAGCTTCAGTTGATGGACAGACACCTTCACATTATCCTGGATAATTTGTTGATAAACTTGGCAATTCATTTTCTCCTCAGTGATGGCAAAATGTCCAGGTTCTGACACAGCAAAGCAGGCCAAAATCATGATGTTCCCTTCACTGTACTTTACTGTAGGGATGATGTTTTGATGCTGATATGCAGTGCCCTTCTTCGTCAAATGAAGTTCTGCTTGTTCCTCCCAAATAGTTCAATTTTGGTTTCATCACTCCAGAAAACATTTTCCCAGGACTATTGTGGTGTGTCCAAGTGCTCTATTGCAAACTTCAGGTATGCAGCAATATTCTCTTTGACAGCAGTTGCTTCCTCCTTGGTGTCCTGCCATGAACTCCTTTCTTGTTCAGTGTGTTGCGAATCATGAACAGAGATGTTACCCGGTTCTAATGACTTCCTCATGTCATTTGCTGTCACTCTAGGGTTCTTCTTTACCTCACTGATGACTTTGCATTGTGCTCTTGGGGTCGTCTTGGTAGGGCACCCACTTCTAGGCAGAGTAGCCACAATAACAGATTGTCTCCATTTATAGACAACTTGCTTAACAGTAGACTGATGAATATCTAAAATATCTGAGATGACTTTGTAACCCTTTCCAACCTTATGTAAATGAACAATTCTTGATCGTAGCTCTTTTGTGTGAGGCATGATTCCCATCTGGATATGCTTCTTTTCAAAAGCTCAAACTCAAACTTTTCAGTGTTTTTCATCAATCAACGTAATTCTAGGCCACACCTCTGACCTCTTTTCATTAAATGGACTCCAGGTTTGCCAAATTCGGACTGCTTTTTAAAAAGTCATTAGCTTAGGGTTCACTTACGTTTTCCAACATTCAGTTTCACAATTTGAATGTATTATTCTAAATGATCAAAAATTCTCTGAAAATATGTGTATCTTTAGTTATAAGAGACTGTGTTTGTTCATTATTGTGACTTACATGGAGATACGACCATGTTTTATATGAGAATTACACATGAATATAGTAAATTCCAATGGGTTCACAAACTTTTTACTTTGACTGTATATATAAAATACTAGTTTTATGTATGACATTTACATGTTGTTTAATGAACTATGCATTTCCTTATAATTCAGATAAGTGTGTAGCCATGTTAATTTATATACTATTTATACTTGCATATGTATTCATTGGTTTACTCTGTACTTTTTGGTTCTGCCACAAAGGTTCCTCCTAGTGTTTTAGGTGTGGCAGCAATCAGCGACAAAAAATTTTTGAGTTTCAGCGCCAATTCTTGTCAGAATCCGCTTGGATTTGGCACTGGTAAGACGTGCAATTCAGCTTCCAACCAACATTAACACAAAAAATTGATAATCTGTAAATGTTTAAATTATTATAATAAAATCTCATTTAGTAGTGTTGATTATATCCCCCCACGTTATAACTTATTAATATATCAAAAAGGGAACTTTTGTAATAAACTTTTTCCTTTTCCCGCGATTAGTGTAATTTGAGGAGAGGCTGTACATCGCTGGCTTTATATTAGGTAGGTTACGAATTATGTTAATTAAGAGGTAAGAGGTATTATTGATTAGCACGGTGTTTTGGCTGTAAATTATAGTTACACAGGACTAAACAGCATTTAGATTGCTCCGCCATCAAATTGCATCCTGGTGTACTGCATTACAGTGTGGTATGCTGGCGTACTGCATTACAGTGTGGTATGCTGGTGTACTGCATTACAGTGTGGTATGCTGGCGTACTGCATTACAGTGTGGTATGCCGGTGTACTTAATTACAGTGTGGTATGCCGGGGACTCATCTGCAGAGAGGACAGTCCTCTAGAGGGTTAGAAACTCTGCCCAAAAAAACATCGGTTGCTCTCTGCCATCCCTGGAAGCCATCGCCAGCTCCCTTTGCCTCTCCAGAGCCCAAAACATCCTCAGAGACTCTGCCCGTCCCACACACCACTTGTTTGACCTGCTGCCCTCTGGTAGGTGCTACAGGTCCATCAAAACATGCACCTCCAGACTCAAGGACAGTTTCTTCCTTTGGGCCTTAAGATCACTGAACAACAACAAAAAATAATCTGTGTGCAATATTAGTCTTTAGTGATTACAAAAACCAGTTTTATAATACTAATCTTTTTTTATTTATCTTATTTATGCAAAGTATTGATTTTTGCTACTTGCCTCCTTTGGTTGGCTATATTTTACATGTGCATACACAGATAAGTATTATGTTTGACTGTGTTTTTCTGATTCGTTATTGCATTGAACAGGAGCAGCATGCTTAGTTTTGTTGTGTATTTTATATACAATGACAATAAAGCTTCTATTCTATTCTATTGTTATTCAGCCTCAGGTGCCAGTACTCTCAGCAGATATTGTGAGGTGCCGGTACTCTGAAGAGAAAAACAAAGAGGTGCTGGTACTGCATACCTGTGAGTACTGACCCACTTCAAGCACTGAATACATTGATAGAAAAGCGTATAGTTTCATTTCCAAAGTACCCATTGAATACTGAAGGAACATGCAGTGTAATGACTATACCCTTTTTTGACTTAAATACAGGGTGAAATATGGCACATAGTTATGAGACCAAATGATCAGTGGACGTCTCTGCCTGTGACTGAAAACTGCCTGTGTGAGTAAAAATTTACCAGTTTGCTTTGGTTGTAAGATATAACAGCTGCTAAACTGACTTTTGAATATAAAGCTAACATTACTTTTGGTTTTCATTACAGAGTCAGACTGATACACAGGTCCTGGTTTCCTTACAGCCATAAACATCTAAGCAATGGCTCACCAAGAGGTTTGTCTACAGCATTTCGGCATTTGATGCATTTTGTCCATAAATATCAGACACTGAAAAGCAGGAAAGCTTAAGCTGAGTAACGATTTTCAGCTAAAAGTTGCTGAAAATAGCAGACAAAAAGCTCCCTCTCAGCAGAGCTCTTCCCCAGGCTACTTCCGTACCGTACTGCCCTACACCTAATGTTACAGACGTACTGTAACAGAATAACTTAATCTAAAATATATATAATTATATTGGATGCTGCCTTAACGTGATGTTTGTAGTCTGTTTTGATTTTGACCTTATTGTTTTAATGTGCTCTATTGGATCTTAAATTTCAACCTTTTATATTGGGCAGGTCTCTCTTTAAAAGAGATTTTTAAAATCAGTGAGACTAACCTGGTTAAATGAGGTTTAATAATAATGCAGAAAATAAACAAACACAGGTGCTTGTTATAGTAATAGAAAATCATAGCAGGTGTCTTCAGCAGCCACATAAGACTGTGAGCAGGAAAACTGACTTCTGTTAATGGAAAGTTCAATGCATGTGTGTGAGTGACCATAAACTGGTCTGTGAGATCTCATGAACTCATCTCTGACATTCTGCATACTCAGAACTCACTCGCCGACCTCTTTCTGGAGTATCTGAAAGAGCTCGATGATGATGAGCTGAAGGAGTTTAAATGGAAACTGAGTCACACAAAGTATAAAAAGTTAAAGCCCCTTCCCAGGGGTCAGGTGAAGCACTTGGATAGAACAGACCTCGCCGACACGATGATAAATTCCTACATGGAAGTTGGTGCTCTTGAAGTCACACTTGAAATCCTGAAGAATATGACCCTGAATGACCTTGCTGAGAGACTGAAGGAAGACTTGCAGAAGTGTAATCATATTTTTAATCTTTCCTGTTTTTCATATAAATTTTAAGCTTTTTTAGCTCTTCAAAAATAAATATGTTAAATAACAGTATATGGGAAATGATGAAGAGTTTGTTACATACTGATTTTGAAGATAGAAATTAATTTGAAATTCTTTCTTATTTCAGGTAACCAAGTAAGAAATGAGATGGCTGATGTATCAGAGAAAAGTAAGAGCTGTATGCTATTATCTACATGTATGTGGTGTTTCAGAAAGAAAGGTGTATGATGTGAAATTTATAGTTTCATTCATCACTGAAATAGTGAAAATCGTGTGTGTGTGTGTTTATATTCTTCCTCTCTTACTGGTCAGGATCCTGTTGAGAAATTGTGCATTTTCCTCCCATATTTCTTCAGGGGAACTCATGCTGGACAGAATAAAATGTAACCTAAAGAAGAAATTTGAGTGTATATTTGAAGAGAAAGCTAAGGAAGGACAGCCAACACTTCTCAAAGAGATTTACACAGAACTCTACATAACCAAAGGCGGAACTGGAGGAGTCAATGATGAACATGAAGTGAGACAGATTGAAACATCATCCAAGAAAAGGCGAACAGAAGATACTACAGTCAAGTGCAATGATATATTTAAACCATTATGTGGACGTGAGACACCTATCAGAACTGTACTCACTAAAGGGGTTGCAGGTATCGGGAAAACAGTCTCTGTGCATAAATTTATACTAGACTGGGCAGAAGGAAAAGCAAACCAGGACATTCACATCATATTTGCTCTTCCTTTCCGAAACCTGAATTTGGTTAAGGGTGAATTCAGTCTGATTGAACTGCTTCACCACTTTGATCCAGAACTAAAGTCATTTCAATCTATTGAGCTGTTTAGGTACAAAGTCTTGTTCATCTTAGATGGTCTAGATGAGTGTCGCCTTCCTCTAGATTTTCAGAACAATGAGAGCTGTTGTGATGTTAAAAAGAAAACATCACTGGATGTGCTGTTGACTCACCTCATTAATGGGAACTTGCTTCCATCTGCTCTCCTCTGGATAACCTCCCGGCCAGCAGCAACCAATCAGATACCTCCTGAGTGCATTGACCAGATGACAGAGATACGAGGGTTCAGTGATGCCCAGAAGGAGGAATATTTCAGGAAGAGATTTAATGATGAGAGCCTGGCTGAAAGGATTATCAGACATGTGAAATCATCAAGGAGCCTCTTCATCATGTGCCACATTCCTGTGTTTTGTAGGATTTCAGCCGCTGTCCTTGAGAGTCTTTTTAGTGAAACTGACAGTAGAGAAATTCCAAGGAATCTGACTGATATGTACACACACTTCCTGATCTATCAGACAAAATTAACAAAAAACAACTATAGGCTCAAGACCTCCATGACCCAGAACAGGACAAGCTGGTACAAGAAACCGAAGGATGGATGGAAGAAAATCAATGAAACCAAGCATATGAAATGCTTTCTTCTAAAACTTGGTAAACTGGCTTTTCGTAACCTTAAGAAAGACTATCTCATATTTTATGAGAATGATCTGGAACAGAGTGACCTTGACATCACAAAAACTTCAGTTTACTCTGGAGTGTGCACAGAAGTCTTTAAAAAGGAATATGGGTTGTATCAGACAAAGGTGTACTGCTTTGTGCATCTGAGCATCCAGGAGTATCTCGCTGCTTTATATGTGTTTCTATCAAAGTCATCAGCTAACCTACTGAAGACTGCAGTGGATCAGGCATTAGAGAGCAAGAATGGACACTTGGACCTCTACCTCCGCTTCCTCCTGGGTCTTTCAACAGACTCCAGTAAGACTCTGTTAGAAAGGCTACTGGGACAGAGAAGATACAGCTCACGTAACATTGGGAAAACAGCCAAATACATCAAGGGGAAAATAAAGGAGAATTTATCTCCAGAAAGGACCATCAACCTGTTCCACTGTCTGAATGAACTGGGTGACAATTCTCTAGTAGAGGAGGTACAAGGATATCTGAATTTAGGAAGTCTTTCAGCAGAAGACCTCTCACCTGCACAGTATTCAGCTCTGGCCTTTTTGTTGCTGATGTCAAATGAGGAGCTGGATGTGTTTGATCTGAAGAAATTCTTCAGATCCGATAATGAGCACTGGAGACTGCTGCCTGTGGTCAAGACATCTACGACAGCTCTGTAAGTGATGAGAGGATGTAAAAACAGGTCTTATCTGGCAGGAAAACATTGTTTGAAATATATAAAACATGTGATGTCTTGATCTTCGTGCTTTAATGACTTGGCTAGATTTGTTTTTTGATATTTTGAACCCAGATTTTTTAATGACTGAAGATAGTGATGTAGTAAAAAACACAAAAGTGACATTTCCACTAACATCCACTATGCCTTCCAATAACTGGGACATCATCCAAACCTGCTATAGAAACAAAGAGGGCTCTTTTTCTGGAGGGTTTACAAGTGAAATGATCCTTTATTTGCATAAGTACAGGTATATTGGGATGCTTCTCTTCTCACTCTCCATGAGAGACACAGACACATTTACAGGTGAGAACAAGCTTAGGGGTCACAGCACTGGGTTGGCTGGCATCCAGAACCCCTGGAACTGGAGGTTTAAGGGCCTCGCTCATGGGCCCACAGACATGTGATTATTCTGCCCGATCTTGAACCAGCAGTCTTCCGACCACAGGCCCAGAGGCTTAGCCTGCTGAGCCAGACACCAGCTCCACAGAAATGCTATGTGAGTGTTATTGTAAGCAGGTGTGTTCATACGATGGATCCCAAAGCTGGGAGGTTCCGGAAGACTGCTGTCTCTGGCTGCTCACTGGCGCCCTCTGCTGGCTTCAGCTGCTCCTGACTAAAGATGTGACAACACATCTAGTTTTCAAGTAGTAGAGATACACTGTTTAAAATATATTTTGAAACTGTATAAGTGTATAATTTATTTCCCCCTCTTAGATTAATAACCAAGTTGGATATTTTTGGAATTCAGGTTTTATATTGGCTGAAGTTCAAATTGCCCGTAGGTGTGTCATGAAACACAGGCAAAGGAGTCGGGAATTTCGGGTGAACACAGGATTTAATTGGGATAAGCACACTCAGAAACACAGAAAGGACTGGGGAAACATACTCTAACTCGGACTTAAATACACAACAGCAATCATCATGACTCGAAACAGCTAGTAACACGGGGATTCTACTTGGGGTTGAGGGGGCATGGCATACGGGAGGATTGGATGACCGGTGTGAGTGTGCCCTGTGATGAGCTGGTGCCAGGTCCTGGGCTGTTCCCTGACTTGCGCCCGTAGCCTCTGGGATTTGCTCCGGATCCCCGTAACCCTGAACAGGATAAGCGGTTTCATAAAATGGAAAGATGGATGGATATTGGCTGAAGTTAGTAATGTAGTAAAAAAGTGACAGGTTTTCCATAACAATCCTTTGTGTGAAAAAAAGCCAAGTCAGAATTTCACAGCATGTTCCAGTTTGTCTTAATACTGGGCAAGCCACTCAGAAATTCTTTTTCAGTTCTGGACACTGGAGGAAGCATTTCTGGAAATACTGGGTGTGGTATGTGAGTCTTTGGGTTCGGACTCAGTGCCCGTGAGTAGAAGGCCATTGGTTCAGGTCTCCTGGCCGGCAGAGTGATGTCATCACTGGACCCCTTGAGCAAGTCCCTTAATGCCAGTCACTGCAGAGGCGCTGAATACTGGCCAAATCTTTGCTGTTACCCCCAAACCTTCTCTCACCTGTGTATGTGTCTGTGAGTCTTATGGAGAGCAAGATGGCGGAGGTGAAAAGACAATCTCCTCATGGGGATAAATTAAGTATCAATATTCATAAAAAGAGCTGTGTTATGGAAATTTGGAGGTAGGAAGTAACAGATGAGTCCGATGGTTTAGCTTGGTTTCATTTATTGAGATATCTTTCTATGCGAGCTCGGGGAGACTCTCCACAGACAGTTCTGAGAAGTTCTCCAAATAGCAGACGCAGTTGCTTTCATTTTATACTGACAGACAAATGACCTTTCTCTGCAACCACAACCGGAAGACCCATGTCTGCTTTTGC